CTGCTGCGTCGGCCGCAGCAGCAGCAGCAGCAGCAGCAGCAGCAGCAGCAGCAGCAGCAGCAGCAGCGCGGCGCTCGCGCAGCACGCAGGCCAAACTCTGGGGAGACTGCAGGGGACGGGAGAGTCCCTTCCAGTGGTTTGCGGAGTTGAGGAGTTGGAGGTTTTGGTCGAGCCAGAGAAGGTGACCAGTGGTCCGGTCCAGCAGCAGCAGCGAGGGCTGCTGCTGCTGCTGCGCGTCTCCGTACAGCAGCACCAAGCAGCAGGGGCTCTGCAGCGGCCCCGAAAAGGAGACAGTCGGCGCAGCAGCAGCCAGCGCGCCCACGTCCCCGAACTCGTACTTGGAGACAGCAGCAGCAGCAGCAGCAGCAGCAGCAGCAGCAGCAGCAGGGACTGTCTCCGCGACGTAAAGGAGACAGCGCTCGAAGGTGACGTCTGCTGCTGCTGCAGTCCAGCCCTGTCTCCGAACTGTCCCCAACTTCAAAGGAGACACATCCGCAGCACCCCACAGCAGCAGCCGCAGCTCTTCTTTGTACAACTCCAGAGTTATTGTCTTTGCAAAAAGTCCAGAAATAAAAACTTCTTCCAAGTCCAACAAGGCCCATCTCCTGTCTCCTTGCAGCCAGTGGTACCCGAGGGGACTGTACCTCCCGACGACCATGGGGTGTACGCTCAGGGGGGGCCCCCCGGGGGCCCCCTGTTCCTGCGAGGGGGCCCCCCCGGGGGCCCCCAGGGGGGCCCCCCCGGGGGCCCCCCCGGGGGCCCCCTGCTGCTGCGAGGGGGCCCCCCCGGGGGCCCCCTCCAGCTCCGAGACTTGCCACGGCTCGTAGAGTCCAAACTCCGCCACCACTGCTCTCCCCAGAAAGACAAAAGTGTCTCCTTTTGTGTCTCCTTTGCTGTCTCCTTTTGTGTCTCCTTTTGTCTCCAAACAAACGTCCAACTCCGTCCCGCTGCTGAGGGCTCGCGAGGGGCCTGGCCGCAGCAGCAAGCCGCTGCGGAGACAAAGGAGACACTTCGTTTTAATACAAGTTAAAGGAGACACTTTGGTTTAATAAAAGTTAAAGGAGACACTTTGGTTTAATAAAAGTTAAAGGAGACACTTTGGTTTAATAAAAGTTAAAGGAGACACTTTGTTTTAATAAAAGTTAAAGGAGACACTTTGTTTTAATAAAAGCCAAAGGAGACACTTTGTTTTAACAGAAGTTAAAGGAGACACTTCGTTTTAATTGAAGTTAAAGGAGACACTTTGTTTTAATAGAAGGTGAAGGAGACACTTTGTTCTAATAGAAGTTAAAGGAGACACTTTGTTTTAATAGAAGTTAAAGGAGACACTTTGTTCTAATAGAAGGTGAAGGAGACACTTAATGCAATTAGGGGAAATTGTAGTTAAAGGAGACACTTAATGCAACTAAAGGAGACACTTTCACTGGAGCCTTACAAGGCTTTAGTCTTCTATAGCCTTGCAAGGCTATAAAAGGCCAACAGGCTTTCAAAGACTTTAAAAGAACTTTAAAAGAATTTAAAAGACTTTAAGAGACTTTAAAAGACTTAAAAGGAATTTAAAAGACTTTAAAGGAATTTAGAAGAATTTAAAAGAATTTAAAAGACTTTAAAGGAATTTAAAAGAATTTAAAAGAATATAAAAGACTTTAAAAGAATAAAAATTACTTTAAAAGACTTTAACAGACTTTAAAAGACTTTAAAAGAACTTAAAGGACTTTAGAAGAATATAAAAGACTATAAAAGACTTTAAAATAACTCGAAGAACTTTAGAAGAATATAAAGGACTTTAAAAGAACTTAAAGGACTTTAGAAGAGTATAAAGGACTTTAAAAGACTTAAAAAGAAGTTAAAGGACTTTAGAAGAATATAAAGACTTTAAAAGAAATAAAAGTAAATTAAGAGACTCCGAAAGGCCTCAAGGGACTTTAAAGAATTAAAAAGTCCCCAAAGGCTCAAAAAGGCCAAAATAACAAAAAGGGACTCAAAAAGAAGAAAAAAACAAAACAAAACAAACAAACAAAACAAATAAATAAATAAATAAATAAATAAATAAATAAACAAATAAATAAATAAATAAATAAATAAAAGGAGACAAACCTGGCGCGAATGACCTGGCGGTCTGCGCGCTGCTGGAAGCTGGAGACAGCAGCAGAAGCGGCCAAAGTGTCTCCTCGGCAAAGTGTCTCCTTAGTGTCTCCTTTTGCTGCAGTCCCCTTTGTGTCTCCTTTTGCTGCAGTCCCCTTTGTGTCTCCTTTTGCTGCTGCTTCCTTAGAGTCTCCTTTTGCTGCTGCTTCCTTAGAGTCGCCTTTTGCTGCTGCTTCCTGAGTGTCTCCTTTTGCTGCTGCTTCATTAGTGTCTCCTTTTGCTGCAGTCTCCTTGAGGCAAAAGGAGACAGTCTCCAAATCCAAAGGAGACCCTCCGTGCAGCACAAACAAAGAAAACAGAGTCTCGTTGGCTCCCGCGGCGGAGACCGCGTAGGGGACCACCAGCCGCTTCGACAGGTCAAACCCTGCGACAAACCCTAAACCCTAAACCCTAAACCCTAAACCCTAAACCCTAAACCCTAAACCCTAAACCCTCAAACTCGCGCCGCCCTTCCAAACCTGGAGGCTAACAGCCAATTCACAAACGCTGCCTGGCCCTCGCCAGCACTGGCAGAACCTCGTAGTCCCTAAACCCTAAACCCTAAACCCTCAAAACCCTAAACCCTAGCTAGCCCAAACCCCAGCTCACCAAACGCCAGCTAACCCCCTCAAACACTGGCTAGCACTACCAGCCCCTCGGAAACCCTCAACGCCCACAAACCCTAAACCCTAACTGGCCCTTACAAACCCTAGCAAACCCTAGCAAACCCTAGCAAACCCTAGCAAACCCTAGCAAACCCTAGCAAACCCTAGCCAGCAAACCCTAAACCCTCGTCCCCAAGAAGCAGCTGCTGCGCGCGGAGCCCCGAGAATCCCGCGCCCGCAGCGCCTAGGGTTTAGGGTTTAGGGTTTAGGGTTTAGGGTTTAGGGTTTAGGGTTTGCTTGCCTTTGGTCTTGAACTTGGTGGCAAACCCCACGGCCTTGCCCTCCGTCCCCGCCCCCGTCCAACAAACCACAAAGTCCTCCAAAGTCCCCAAGGAGACTGTCTCCGTTTGGCCCACGAGGTAGTCGCTGTGGCCTTCGGAAAAGGAGACAAAGGAGACACTTTTTTCGAGGGTAAAGGCCCCGCGGAGCCAGGCCCCCGCGAGGCCGCGGGGGGCCCCCCCGGGGGCCCCCCCGGGGGCCCCCCGGGGCCCCAAGTGCCCCTCCAGGGCCCGCAGGGTCTGCCCCAAGTGCCGAAGGAGACACTTGCTGCTGTCTCCTCCTCTGAAGATGTCTATTCTGTCTCCTTTTCCAAACCCCACACCTGCGAGGGACAGCGCGAAGGGACTCCCCGTTTCGTACGTTGGCAGCACCTTCAGTTCCGACGGAATCGGCCCTGCAAACCACAAACCCTAAACCCTAAACCCTAAACCCTAAACCCTAAACCCTAACCCTCAACCCTAGCCGCCCCCGCAGCCTCCGCACTCCTCAGCGCCCCAAAACCGCCGCCTCGCGCTTCCCAACTTTAAACCCTACGGTTTGAAATTCAGGGTTTAGGGTTTAGGGTTTAGGGTTTAGGGTTTAGGGTTTAGGGTTTAGGGTTTAGGGTTTGGACTGCGGGATTAGGGTCTACGGCCTAGAGCAAAGAACTCAGGGTTTGGGTCTGGGCCCCAGACCTCCGGCCTCGGGGACCGCGCGCAGGGCTCAGGGTTTAGGGTTTAGGGTTTAGGGTTTAGGGTTTAGGGTTTAGGGTTTAGGGTTTAGGGTTGCCTTTGACAGTGAGTCTTCCGGCGTGGATGTTGAAGTCCTGGGGCTGCGTGCAAGTGCCGTTTTGAGAGAAGTCTCCGTTTGCAACAAACTCGAAGTCGCAAATGCAAATCAAAAGAGACCCTCGAGAAGTGTCTCCGATTTCGAAGTGTCTCCAAATTAGGGTTTGGACGAGGCCCTCTTCGAGGAGACTCTCGGGGGTCTCCGTGGGGACTCCCCACTCGTCGCTGGGTACGTACACCCCGCGGGCCAGCCGCAGCTGTGGGGCCCCACACACCGCCCCCCCCCCTGCTGCTGCTGCTGCTGCTGCTGCTGCTGCTGCTGCTGCTGCTGCGGGGTCCGAAGAGTCTCCTGTCTCCTCCTGAAACAGCCGCACGGCCTTGTAAGGAGACAGTCCCTTCCCCGCGAACTCGATGGAGACAGTGCTGCCCGGCTGTACGTACACCCGGCTCACCCCTGCGCACCCCACACAACTGCTGTCTCCTTTTGTCTCCTTTTGTCTCCAAAAAGACAAAAAAACCAAAAGGAGACAAAAGGGAACAAAGAAAGCCAAAAGGAGACAAAAGAGACACAAAAGAAACTCGAAAGGAGACAGAAAAGGAGACGGAAGAGGGGAGGGAAAAGGAGACAGAAAAGGAGACAGAAAGAGACAAAAAAGGGACAAAAAGGGACAAAAAGGGACACACGGAGACGCTGTAAACAAGCAATGAATAGAACTAATAAATACAAACAATTAATTAATTAAATCAATTAAATCAATTAAATAAATAAATAAAATAAATAAATAAATAAAATAAATAAATAAATAAATAAATAAATAAATAAATAAATAAATAAAATAATAAATAAATAAGGGAATGACTAGTAAATCATAAAGTTAATTAATTGGCAAAAAGCAAAAGGAGACAAATGAGGCTTAAAAGGAGACAGCAGCAGCTGGCGGCTGGCGCATGCAGGAAAGCCCCAAAAAGGAGACAGGAGAATTAAAAGGAGACAAAAGGAGACAGGAGAATTAAAAGGAGACGAAAGGAGACAGGAGAATTAAAAGGAGACAATTTAAACAAAATATTGGAGACAGGCCGAGGAGACAGATTAAGGACTCCAAAGGAGACAGTGGAGACCGCAAAATCAGCAGCAGCAGCAGCAGCAGCAGCAGCAGCAGCAGCAGCAGCAGCAGCAGCAGCAGCAGCAGCAGCAGCTGCAGCAGCAGCAGCAGCAGCAAGGGGGAGACAGCAGCAGCAGCAGCAAGGGGGAGACAGCAGCTGCTTGGAGGCAAAAGGAAAAGGTGGCAAAAAAGGGGAAATGGGGGATAAGGAAAACCCAAAAAGGGGACAAAAAGGACTTCGAAGAAGACAAAATGGAGACAGATAAAAGGGGACAAAAGAGAAACAAAGGAGAAGAGAAAATAAAACGAGGAAGGGGATTCAAAAGAGACAAAAAGGAGACAAAAAGGAGAGAAAAAAGAAACAAAAAGAGACAAAAAAGAGACCAAAAAGAGACAAAAAAGGAGACAAAAAGGAGAGGACAAGGGACGAAAGGAAACAAAAAGGAGACAACAAATAATAATAAAAGAGGAGACAAAAGAATTAAAGAAAAAGACAAAAAAGGAGACAAAGGAAGGTCTGAAGGAGACAGAAGAAGATGTTGAAAGGGGAGCCAAAAGAGACAAATAAAAAGGGACAAAAAAAGGAGACAAAAGCGACAAAGAGAGACAAAGGGGGACAAATGGATTACAAAGAGGACAAAAGAGACCCCAAAAGAAGACAGAAGAAGGGATAAAAGGAGACAAAAGAGGGGACAAAAAAGGGGACAGAAAAAGGACCCAAAAAAGGGGAAGGAAACAAAAAAAAAGGAGACAAAAAAGAAACAAGAAATAGTTCCAAAGGAGACACAAGAAGAGACAAAAGAAAACAAAAAGGAGACACAAGAGACTCGAAAAGGGCCAAAAAAGGAGACAAGAAAAAGGAAAAAGAGACAAAAAAGGAGTCCCCAAAGGAGTAAAGAAGAGGAGACAAAAAGGGCCCAAAAGGCGCCACGAAAAGCACAAAAATTTTCAAAAAAAGGAAAAAAAGAAGCAAAAGAGAGAGCGAATGAGAGGAAAAGGAGACAGAAAGGAGACCCAAAAGGCCCCGAAAGAGACATAAAAGGCACCAAAAGAAAGGAGACACAAAGCCCGAAAAGGCCCTTCAAAGCAGCAGAAGAAGCGCCAAAAAAGAGACAAAAAAGAGACCAAAAGCTCTCCAAAAGTGCACCAAAAACGAGCCAAAAAAAGACAAAAAGAGACAACAAAAAGGGGCCCAAAAGGGGACTAAAAGGAGAAAAATAGGGCCAAAAAGGGGCCAAAAAGGAGACAAAAAGGAGACGAAAAGGGGACAAAAAGTGGCCATAAAGGAGACAAAAAGGAGACAAAAAGGGGCCAAAAAGAAGACAAAAAGGGGCCAAAAAGGAGACAAAAAGGGGACAGAAAGGAGCCAAAAAGTGGCCAAAAAGGAGACAAAAAGGGCCAAAAAGGGGCTAAAAAGGAGACAAAAAGAGAGAAAATAAAACCGAAAAGGAGACAAAGGGACTGGCCGGACCGAGGGGGTCGCAGACGTCGGAGCGGACGTCGGGGTCCTGCGTGAAGCACCAAATGTGGTTTTCTTTGTTGGGGTTTCTGCAGAAGTTGTGGAACTGCTGCTGCTGCTGCTGCTGCTGCAGCAAGTGGCGGTGCGGCTGCTGCCGGCCCCACACTTGGCAGCGCAGTCCGCCCCGCGTGCGGTTCTGACAGCCCAAGTACTCGCCGTTCACCAGCCGCTCTTCGCAGGCCCCCGCTGCAGCAGCAGCACACCCACGCAACCTTGCTGCTGCTGCAGCAGCAGCAGCAGCAGCAGCAGCAGCAGCAGCAGCAGCAGCGGCAGCGGCAGCGGCCGCGGCAGCGAAAAAAGCGCAGAAAAAGCAGCAAAAACCGCAGAGAAATCGCACCAGCAGCAGCAGCAGCAGCAGCAGCAGCAGCAGCAGCAGCAGCAGCAGCAGCAGCAGCAG